CTGCCTGGGAGAGCAGGCAGGGGCGGGGGCGGCAGGGGACTTGAGTTGCCGGCTCCCGCAGCGGCTACGGCGTTAGCAGCTGCAGCGGTGCGCGGACAGACCGACTGCGCGAACGGGGCACAGTGCGCACAGCGGGGGCGTGCAGGGGCATAGGGTTGTAAAAGGTGGTTTGAGTTTCCGGCCACCGTGGGGCAGGCAGAAGAGGGGAGGCAGGATCAGTGGGTTGACGGAGGGCGTGGCTGGAGGGAGGTCCAGCAGGGAGGAGGAGGGGAGAGTGTGGACGGACAGGGGCTTACTCCGCGGGAGAATGGGCGGCTTTCGCTAGGGGAATTCGGGGGAGTTCTCTGGTGGAGGGGGTGAGGGGACGTGGAGACTATGGCGGTGCCGTCGCCGCATCCCACACACAGCACATGAACCCACCCCACACGCACCGCACACACTGCGGGCTCAGTGGTGCACAGTGGCGCGGAAGCGCAGGGACAGCCGGGAGGGAGGAGGAAGGGCAGGACGAGGAGAGACGCGGATGGAACTTTCGGGGGAGGGACGAGGACACAGAATGGGTGGAGAGAGGCTTGGGCACATTTCCCAGTTCACTGGCAGAAATTACTGAGATCGGTGTAGACGGTAAAGTCAGGGTCCCGTTTTCATACTGAGGCCATGCTATGTTACAGAAAAAGGATGCAGGTCCGAGACAGGCCCCGTGTTTAGCCACATCGGTGAGCCAGCACCCTAGAGGTGTTTTCAGGTCAGGTTTGGAATTTGGATTCCCCGTGCTCGATACCCGTGGCCTGTAGCGGGGCTAAAGGCTGGCGTCCCAGCGGTTTAACCCACGCTACGGATGGACGGAGGGACTGTGGGCGGGGTAGAGGCATCCCTGCTACCCCCTCAGGTCTGGAGGAGCCTTCCTAGAAGGGTCCGGAGAGGCAATCTCTGACGTGGCCATGGTTTACAGACAGAGATGCCAGCGGGTGGGCGGCCACATGGGACCGGCACCGGGGCGGGGTGGGATTCACCGCTGATGCTGCCGAACTGGGAAAAGTTGCTGAGCTGAAGAAATGAGGTCCTGATGGATCCAGAGCCACGAGGAGGGAGAGGTGGGCACTCTGAGCTGCGGAGGGACGGCCAAATGGAGTGCTCGCGCCACCCGGGTTTCAAGGCACCAAATGTTAGGTTAGGTGGCTCAGGAGGTGGCACAATAAATAGAGAGTCCAGTGAATCAGAAAAGAAAGGAAAGGAAAAGGTTTATTTCTGCGTCCCCGGGAGACCCATGTACCTTTCAGCTGCAGGGGTCAGCCAGGTATTCAGGAATGAGTCAGTATCTGTGTGGGGGTCATTGTGGATTCAGGGAGAAGCCTGTATCTGTGTCTGGCATGCTGATCTGTTAGACATGCCAGGGGGAGTCCATTATCTCATCACATGTCTGTATGTATCCGATCCTGGGCTCTCTCCGACCTAACAGTTGCCTTCCTCCCAGGCCAGGCCAGGCCAGCGGCAGCTGCCATGAGTACTGTCTTCAGGATGGGGACAGTGCAGAGAAATCTAGAAAAATTAGAGAATGCTGACTGGGTCAGGGAAGCAGCTGGCAGAAACCCAACCAGACCTTTCAGATGAGATTTTAGCCAATCAGAAAAAAGAGTCTAAGCTGACAACCCTGTTGCTAGTAGAGAGTCTGTGTGAAGAGGCCTGTGAGACCTGGGAATCCCCAGGCCCGAGGCAGCCACCAATGCACAGCCCAGAGCAGAGCAGAACTGAGTGCACAGCCCAGAGCAGAACTGATGGAATTCCCCCACGACAGGAGGGAGGTGGTGAGCCAGAGGCCTCTGCTGATTCTGAGGGACCCTGAGGTGGGGGCTTAGGCACTGAGGCACCTTCAAGTTCCCTCTCTGACTATTCTTCCTTGTCCCCCAGCCCCATTCCAGGTCTGAGTTGGATGTTCCTCCCTTATGCTTCTGCCCTGACTCTGGAGTGACCCTGACCCTGACCCACCCCTGCTGGTTGGAGCCCTGGGCCCATGCCCTGGCTCAGGGGCTCTGGAGAGATGCACCCAACAGAGAAATCAGAACCAGCTCACGGCCTCCATGTGCCACTAATGCCACCTCTTGTCACTGTCTCCTCCCTGTTTCTTTTACCTGGTGAACTCCTTATGTTCTGCTTTCAGATCCTGCCCTCAAATTTAAAAGGAGAATCTAAATTGTAGGAGAGAGAGAGATCCTTATTGTCTTGCTTATTAATGTTTTCCAAGCATCGTCTTAATTGCTCTATAGCCTTTCAGTACTACCCCTTGCCCTGGGCAAGAGGAGCCTGAGGAATAATACATTTATTAAAAACCCCATCAGTAGTTCTGTCTGTGGGTTTTGATGCTCAGGGTATGCACAGCACAAGCTGTGAGTGTGAACACCTGCTCCCTCAGTCACACTGTGCAGGCCCCAGGGTGCTTCTCCATGTCTTTGCTCTCTGGCCTGGAGCTACAGGAGCCTGTGTCCCGTTGATGTGAATATTTATGGTTGTGCCTTTGTGACATCAGATAGACCAGGGAGGACTGAAGCAGCCAAAGAGCTTAGAAGAGAAAAGTCAACCTCAATGTAGAATCCCCCTCAGAATATCCCCTGGAGAAGTGCGGGGGCAGAGGTATTTATTCTCATATTTTCTTAGCCTTCAGATACTCCCACAGCCATTAAACCCCAGCTCTTGTGGCCGGCCCCAATGGCAGGCTGAGAAAACCTCACATGGAGAGTTTTAAGAGCTTGCAATAGGCTGCATCAAACAAACAAGCAAAATAGAAAAACCATCTTAATTTTCAAAGACTTGCATTCAAAGAGCACAAATGCAGTAGATTCTCACATAAGGATGACTCACTGGCCAGCAGGGTGGGTGTATTTTGTGTGTGATGTTCCCAACAGCTATACATGCAGAAGAGAGGAACCCTTTGTAGTATCAGAGCAGTTATATTGCTGTGAGTGTGTGTGTATGAAGATGTAGATGTCAAATATGCATGAAACATGATCCACATTTTCCAAAGAGAAACCTGAGTTTAAAAGAGGTTGAGTAACTTGTTGTCTCAAAGTGCATTCAACATAGAGCTGCAGCTCAAAACCATTCCTCTCAGGGCTCTGCTCTTTCCACCATGGCTTCAGGCTCCTGGAGTGTTTTAGATAATAGAAGGGAGCATCTTCTGACAATGATTTTCTCTCCCTGTGCTGGGGTCCAGCCCCAGCAGGTCCAGGGGTCCCCAAAGGTGTGGACGGAGTCGGCGAAGAAGGAATGACATGGAGACAGCGTTCAGTTGATCAGCAGCCTTGCCAGGATCTCTAGCCACAATCTCCAGCCAAGTACTGTGTCCATGTTCTCTTGCTAGGTTCTCCAGCCAGGTTCTCCAGGTTCTCCAGCCAGGTTCTGTAGCCATGCTCTCACACTAGGTTCTCCAGCCCG